AGCATTGCCAAGGACCTGTACTTCTCTAGTGCTTCTCAATAGTGATCATCTACCCGAGGCAGAGCAGAGCTGCAGGGAGGAGATCACCTTGCCACTGGTTAGAGGTAAACTACTTTTACAGGTTCTGGAGGGAACAATATAGAACCTGTAATTTATAATTATAAATAATGATAAAGGCCAGAGTAACTTCTGTTTCACAAACCTGTCTCTCCTAAAGGGCCAGACTCCACTCTCTCCTCCAGTTCTGCTACTTTCCCACCTTGTTGTCTGGTTGCTATACCCCTTGATACTCTTCCTATTGTTTTTTTATACCCAATGTCCTCTAGACTGTAAGCTCATTTGAGCAAGGCCCTCATCAACCTACTGTTCCTCTAACATTTTGTAATTGTCTCATTTATTGTTAAATTTCCTCATTTTATTATATTGTAAAGCACTGCAAAGTTGGCACTATATAAATGCCTACAATAATAATAATAATAATAATAATAACAATAATGTATTAGAGTCATTGCATTCCACATCTTTGCTAACACAATTTTATTGTAAAGGTTATGGTCCTGGGCAGTCTTTATCCAGCTCTGTTGATATCTGTTCCAAAAACCCATGGTGATCTGACATGCCTTTTATAATGTCAGGGAAACTTAAAAAAATATCAATTAATAGTCAACGGGCCCCAAGTACTCTTTCTATGGTAGGTGGAAATGCAAACTAGAAAACATCCCAGTAAGAAATTGTATGGTGACAATAAATCCAAAAATATATAAAAACAATAGATGTATTTGGAGTCAACTCCACGTTGTGATTATTCTGAAGTTACATTCTCTTCAACTAAGAGATGCTGAGAACTCCCAAATCTCTAAACAGTCCAATGAAAATAATGATTTAATCCCCATCAGACATAAAATCTAAAGCTGCAGAGAGTCCATTTTATAGCTGTGTATAGACATAGAAATCTCACACAGCAATCGTCTCATACTGAGCTCTCTCAGCCAGTGACTGCCATCCTGGTTTGGTTCTCATGTGTTAATGCTGAAGTGGTTTTTCATATTATATGTGCAGCTGAAGAGGGTTTGGGCTATGGATTCTGGGAAAATCCTTCATTATGTAAAGCCATTTTGACACCATAACCACTACACTCTGGGCATCATAACAACTTAATGGAAATGGGCACTGGCTTACCTTTGGTGGTTACACTCTTAATGAATGGTTTAACTCCAAATAGTTGAATCCAGCACTGTTAAGCTCTCTTTCTGCTTTTTTCTGAATCTTGAAGCAGGAAGCCTCAGTATGCTGGTTTAACCCCTTAAGGACACATGACATGTGTGACATGTCATAATTCCCTTTTATTCCAGAAGTTTGGTCCTTAAGGGGTTAAAGCCAATCAGTAGTTCCCCATTCACAAAGCAGCTTGAGAGAAATCTATATGTTTCTCAAGCTATTTGTGAATGGGAATCTCCTGAAAACACCCCTGGAGATAGTCAGAGTTAAACAGTCATTAATTCAGCTCTTTGGGGTTAACTGTTCATTAACGATTTAACCCATAAAAGTAAGCCATTGACCTTGCACCATAACACCATACTGATTATGTTGTTATGGTGCCTGGAGTCTACCTTTCAAGTACCTGTTTAAAAAGGGGGTTGATATAAGGTAATAATGTTGGCACCTCAGTCTGGAAGGTGGCATATGCATGGGTGAGGAATTTGCTCCCGGCAGCAATTTCCAGCACCCGGCGTTCAACTAGGCAGCTGCTTGCGCTTTCAATAAGGCATTGCTTATCGATGATCTTCATAGCGAGCCATTTGTTGGTTATCTGGTCAGATGCTAAAACAACCTGTAGAGAGAGGAGAAAAAAATCATCATGGAAGTACAGTGTATTCATTTACTCTCACACTTAGATGACTTATATTGACAAATGGAAATTAATACAAAGTTGTTATTTTTAGATTTGGTTGTTTTTTGTTTTTTTGTTTCATTTTATTTCACAATCGAAAGTAGGGACTACTTTGACTTATGAGCAAATCCAAGGCTGACAGATAATACACTATGAACTTTTTTTTTTTTAATTGATATATATATATATACAGTATCTGTATATGTGTCTATTATATACATATGTATGTGTGTGTAGAGCATCGTGTGGGTGTCCTTTCTCCAGCTCTCTCTCCATGGTAACCCGTTGCAACGCTTTGACAGCTGGAGGCTTGCGATAGTTGAAGAAAGGACCCTCCAGAAACAGAAGAAAGCATGTCCTGGGTCCCCCTTCACTATTAAAGCCAGCACGAGGGAAGCTTGCTTGTACAGGGCAAACAGACCACCATGGAAAGTAGTCTCCCCCCTCACTGGCCACAGGTAACAAACAGGACTGGGAGAATAAACTTTTTTTAAAAAAAAACAATAAACATAAAATCTATGTACAATTTTTTCTTTTTTTGCTGGCATTCAGAGGAAAGGCACAATTTTATAAAATGAATAATACAAGCTAAATAAGAATATCTAATATGCTGGGTCACGTGGAAATCGTCAAGCTTGAAACATTAAACATGTAGTGATTCTTAAGTGTGTAAACAATGTGAAAGAGTAGGTTTGGAAATAGAGGCTTGCTAATATGACATAACTAGCTCGACACATCTACTTGACATGTGGGGTGATTAGGAAGAAACATGCTAAATGGTCATAGAGTGCACCTATGTGCTCACTGGCTCAGATTTAAAATAATAGTAACAGGACAATGATATCTCTTCAAGAATAATGGAGGTTAGAGTTAAAACAAAGAGAAACGGAATTTCGGACATAAATGCTTATGAATAGGCAGAAAGCACCCAAGTTTTGGGCATCTACAAGAGGGTCTGTGGCTCAGCCTACACCTTGTACTTGGTGAGAGCTACCCCAGAGTATTGTGCACACAAGTCCCATCATGAGTTGCGACCAGAGCTTGGTTCTGCGGCCCTCTGAAAAGATGTCTCCGCGCAGGATGAACTGTGACTTCCCGGGTGAGTGAGCTGTGCCCCAGGAGCAATCCAGATAACGGCCGCAAGGTGGGGAGACAGGGTTTCCTTGCTGGGCCAGGTCTTCTGCGCCGAGGGTTTCTCCGGGGCGCCCGCTTCCACCTCCTCGCTCCAGGCTTGTCGTTATAGTGTTGCCCAGGGGTTTTTGAATGCCGCTTGGCTTGTTGCAAGGGGAGCGTCTGCGGAGCCCCAGCTGGAGAGTGTCAGCGAAGGGTAAGTGCAGACCAGAAATCCGTGAATAGTTTGTCCAGTTGTTCCATGAGAGTGGAATGTGTGGCTGGAGACGCTGGTTTGCTTGTGGCATCCGCCATCTTGCCTCTTGTAGACCAGCTGTTGCTGATGAGGGCTTGCTGGTGTTCAGCCAGTGCAGCACGAGTAAGAGGTGCCGGGATATCCCTCAACGGCGCGGGGGGGGGAAATAGAGTGAAGGAAGGACCTCCGAAGTCATATGAAGCAGGTAACAGAGGGATCGGCCGCCTCCCTCGCTGTTTCTGTAGGTAGGCCTCAGATGGGTCACGGGTCCACTTCCTTCGTGAGACGCCGATCTCGGTGTGACGGTGGCTCAAGATCACCTCAACCCTCTGCTACCCCCAGGCTGGGGAGGACTTGAACTTTGTGCAGTTTCAAGTCTATGGTACAATGATGCAGGTCTACAAGCAGGCTTGGGGTTTTGGGGACAACCTGCCTCACTACAATTCTGCTGCTGACACCAGTGACATTCCAGCATCACCCTAGTCGAGGAATTGGCTGAACTCCCCAATTTGTGCAGTCCCACTGCCTAACTGCTATGCTACTATTGGTTACATGGCAGCACCCAGCCCTAGCTTGGCACTTTTTAATACACTCCAGCTGTGCTCTTATATGCCCTTTTCTGCCTTATTGATTCCATTTTAATGTCTTATCTGATGTGGTGGTAGGATAGTGGCATAGGTCTTATGCAGACCTCCTCTACGCCCTTATCTAATAGTGATAGTGGCAAGGCCTGTTTCTTTTTGCCTCACTACAACGCATATGATTTGTTTGTTTTTTGCAATCCTGAGTGTCCATTGGTTTTATATCTGATTCCTGCGGTATGTCCCGATTACACATTAAACAGACACTATAGTCACCAGAACAACTACAGTTTATTGTATTTGTTCTGGTGAGTATAATCTGTCCCTTCAGGCTTTTCTGCAGTAAACACTGTATTTTCAGAGAAAAGGCAATGTTCACATTACAACCTAGTGATACCTCCACTTGCCACTCCTCAGTTGGCTACTAGAAGTGCTTCCTGGGGCAGTGCTGCACAGTGTGCAGCACTGCCATTCAGTGTCTCTGCCCTCTACATGCATACACTGAACTTTCCTCATAGAGATACATTGATTAAATTCATCTCTATGAGGAGGTGCTGATTGGCCAGGGCTGTGTTTGGCTTGTGCTGACTCTGCCCCTGATATGCCTTCTTGACAGTCTCAGTCAATCCTATGGGAAAGCATGGTCATTGACTCAGAGAATCACTTCTGATGATGTCAGCCAAGCAGGCAGATCAGGGACAGAGTCAGCAGCTGTAGATGTGAATACATGTAACATTTTACTATTTTTAGGGAGGCAAGGGGGCTAGATGGTGGTTTTAACACTATAGGGTCAGGAATACGTGTTTGAGTTCCTGACCCTATAGTGTTCCTTTAACACTCCTGCATCAGAGTGCATTCTTTACCTCTGTTCATATTGTCACATAACTTTCTCACATATGCAGGGAGGATTTCTGTCGTTTAAAGGATCACTATAGGGTCAGGAACGCAAACATTTATTCCTGACCCTATAGTAAAACTCACCATTTAGGTGGCTTGCCCACCTCCCCTCTCACCCCCCCCCCAGTAACCCCCTCAGAATGGGTTAAAACTCACCTTATTTTCACCTCTCCACAGATCCGCAGGCGCTGGCCCTGCCCCCTTGATGACTTCATCAAAATTGCAGATGTTTAGCCAATCCAATGCTTTTCCATTGGAGTGGTTAAAAATTGGCAAGGGTGCGGGGCAAAACACTGTTCTGGCCAATCAGCACCTCCTCATAGACATGCATTGAATCAATGCATCTCTATGAAAAAATTCAGTGTCTCCATGCAGAGCGTGGGGCGTTGAACGGCAGTGCTGCTTACTGTGCAGCCCTGAGCCAGGAAGCCCCTCCAGTGGCCATCTAAGGAGTCACCATTTGGAAGTGTCTCTGAAAAGGCAGTGTTTACATGAAAATGCCTGAAGGGAGCTATTATACTCACCAGAACAACTACATTAAGCTGTAGTTGTTCTGTTGACTATAGTGTCCCTTTAAATTAGATTGCAGCGCATGTCAGCTATATATCATATCTTATTTTTAAGCAAACATCTGCAGGAGCTGTACTCATTTTCATTTACACAGTGTATGTTAGCTACTTGAGACTAACTTATGTTTTCTTATAAAATGAGTCCTTTTTGACCACAGGGAGACATACCACAGACTATATGATGGCATAGCTTTGTACTGATTTTTTTTGTAAATATATTGTTTTTATTACACAGTTAGACATCCCATTGTTTACACAGTTATTAATTTATGAATACAAGTGTAATAAGTAGTCGTATAGTTTATACTGAGTGGGTCATCTAGCTTTCTGGACATGTCTCTGAACGACTCATGCACATACGTCATTCTTTTATGCAGAGAAGCCATTAACAAAAGTACAAAAAGAAGAACCAGAATAAGAGATAAGCTGAAGTATAGCTTTGTACGTCTAATGTTTTATATTGATATGTGATGATATTGGTAATGCTTGGATATTATACCGTTAATTATCTCATGCTTGTCTGCTTGTGTTGTTGTCGCCACTGTACTGTATTGTTTATCTGACTTATGCCGCCATAAAAATACAGATTGACAAAAAAAAACTATATGCCAACAACAGGACTACAAACCCCAGAAAGCCCTCCTGTGCATGCTCTCAGGATAAAAATACTTGTAAGACGTTAAGAGGTGTATTGCATCACTCAGTGGCATATCTAAATGAGGGATTTGGCTTTTGAATGTAGTTATAAAACATGTGCAAGGAAACAAGGGCAGAGAATCTGTTTCAAAATAATCTATGTAAGAATAGAGTATCTCTTTGGGAATAAGTAACTCGTAAACAAAATTAAGGACTAAAAAATAGGGGGAACAGCTTATTTTGGGTTACCCCCTATTGGAGAGCACAGTGGAAGCGATCATGCCCAGGAAAGGCATAGAGACCACATTATCAGTTGAAAGTGGTTTGCTAGACCACTTCAATATTGTTTTTTCTCTATTTAGGAATATTTAACAGCATTGTGGAATCATGTGACCAGGAAGTGCAGACAGACATGACAGTTGGAGTCATTTGAAAATTGACAACTTTATGTAAAATGGATATAACACTCCTATAAATAATACAACAGGTACTAACAAATGCCATTGTTCATAACATAACACCATGCATCCATAATATATCCATATTTGAAAATTATTTTAATTTAAAGTTTGAGGATTCTTGATTTAACACTGAATTACACTGAACTGGCAACTGACTTGCTTAAAGCCCAAAAAGCTGAATTTAAAGATTTTTTCTAAGTCCCTAACTTTCTCTGGTCCGCACAACTCACGGTTTATAAAATAAATGTTTATTATTTTAGCAGCTGTGCTGGCTGGAACCCTCAGAACTGGACTTAAAATACATACGGCACAATGTATTGTACAGGGGTATACTACAATTATATCGTTTTAAGTAGAGAAATAATTTTAATCTAAATAATTGTTGACAGTTACACAAACAGGAGTAGTCACTAAAGTAAGAAAAGCCTGAAATGTCAAGTGAATTCAAAATGAATTTCAAACTTAAGGCTAAATTAGTCAAACTGGAAAGATTTTCCAGGTCAACTATAATTTCAGTTTGGCTACTTTGGCCTTAAATTTGAAATTCAGTTTGAATTCTCAACAATGTTCACTTTTGTGAATAACTCTGATACATGTCTGTTAAGAAAACCTTTTAAATACACAACTTTTAAAAATGATCTGTACAGTTGGGTTCCGTTTTATTCTAAACAGGTTCTTGTGTTATATTAGGCTTTCACTATTCATTTCTGTCCATAAGAAAATTCTCAGTACATGGCACCATTTGGTGGATATTACATACCTTGCCAAAGCTGCCCTGTCCAAGGGTTTTATGGATGGCAAATCTCTCCAGAGAAATGCTGGTCTCCATTGGAGAAACCACAGGATGGATGGTGGCTCCTTCTGGGAGAGTAAAAATAGTCCATATGTAACATCATATGTAAAAAAAGATTAACGTCTAAGTTCTTTTTTGTTAAAAATGTGTTTTGTATTATGTAAACTTTTTTTATTGTTATTTTGACACAGTACGTACTGAAATGTTTACTTCGGGTCCTGATTGACTAGGTTTTAACCATAAGATACATATATTTTTAATGTTCTTACCTCGTATGAACAAATGCTCAAATCTTACTGAGAACGTCTCACTTCCAACAATAATCCTTATATTTTGAAAACCAAAAGGTGGAAGTAGATTTTTGGAATCTACTAAAGTTAGGCATCAGTGTTAAGTTAGTTTAGGTAACTGTGATTAAAGAACCCATAAGAGCAGTACTACTGCGTTTTGAGACATTAAATATACAGTAAACCGCTCTGAATTTAAATATTCTCTAATAGAATGGATCCCCCTTCTCAATCTCCAGTGTACTGTTTCTTACCTTCGCATTTCTTCTTTCTCTTCAAATGCTCTTCTGTTTCACTCCCGTCTGGTCCTTTCTTCTCCTCGGTCTTCTCCCGTTGCCTCTTCTTGCCTGTCCTCTTCTTTCCACATGATGTTTCGGTGGTTGTTGGATTTTCCATATTTGTTTGTTTACAATTTTTGAATAACAGCACGAAAACTCCTCTGAATCGCTTGAAAGCTAGCTGAGGAGTGACAGTTGCACTGGTCAAGCTATAGAATCCTGTGATGTCGTTGCTTCTATACCAACTAAATTCAAAAAATGCCAACAACTACATGTTTATTTTCAAATCTAATTAATATTATAATGATTTTTGGCATAGATTTTTTTATTTTTTTTTGGGTTACACAGTTAGCTTGGGTAGCTGTCACTATGGAATTTATACCATTGTATGTAACCTTGAAAATCACTTATAATTTATCTAAACATTTTTTTATGTGATGTTCCATTTTTGTTTAAATGTTTATTAAAGTCTGGGCACTGCAAAAAAACACATTACAAATAGGGTGGAGAAATATAATTTTTTTTATTTTCGCCTTTCGCATATGAAATCTTAAAGGGGTTATTCACTAAAGTAAGAGGTGTCAGGAATTCATAGTGAATTTCAAATTAAAAGACAAAATAGCAGAAATTGAAATGTTGTCCAAGTCAGATATGCATCAACCTTGACTATTTTAGCCTTCAATTTTAAATTCACTTTGAATTCTTCAAAATTCTCACTTTACTGACTAAATCTGTGAGTATCATTTTTATCTCAAGATATAAAAATTTGTGTCTCTTATATTAATGCTACTACTATTATTGATACACATACACTGATAATCCACAGCATTAAAACCACCTGTCTAAAACCCCCTCGTGCTACCAAAACATACTCTGAACATGGCCTGTGGTGTTTGACACCAAGACATTAGCAACAGATCCTTTAAGTTTTGCGAGTTGCGAGGTTGGACCACCATGTATCGGATTTGTTGTTCCAGCACATCCCACAGATGCTCAATCGCATTGAGATCTTGGGAAATTGGAGAGCAAGGCAACACCCTGAACGCTTTGTCATGTTCCTCAAACATCTCAATTTATTAGAAGTAACTGGGCAAACATCCAGAGATGTGCCACCGTTAAAGTCAACTTGGACTCATCTCCTGGTGTTGGTTTAACGAAAAGTAGAAATCCATGATAAATGTACATTTGCATTCTGAAGACCAAATATATAACATTTGGCTATTACTGTTATGTTGAGTAGTTGCACAAGTTAATTTGTTGGAAGAAGGTATAATTAAAATCTAATCTATGCAATTTACTTACTGTTTAGCTGGTACACCATATACACAGGAGTTTAGTCTCTGTAACAGTGGTTTTGGCAACAATTAAAATAATGTATATGACATTAACCTGGCAACACATTTTACAGTTTTTTTACATTTACATTTCACAGTGTATGGGAAGTCCATTGCATTTGGCATTATAGCAAAACTAATTATCGTGGAAGAGAAAGCCAAAGTGGTGCGTATTGACAGATTCATTTTAATATTTATTATATATATATACATATATATGTTTATTATTTTTATTATAAAAATCTAATAACATTTATTTGCATGAAAAAAGTTCTAGTTTTACCCATTAATTAAACTGTATTATGCTGCATTAACATTGCTGCCAATGTTAGACTGGCTGATTAAAGGGTTACTTTAGCACTATAACTATTGCAACTCAGTATCACAGTGATTAAGATGGCTAATGTCTGAGCTCGCTTCTGCTTCAGCCCAGATGCTGCGGAGAGGCCAAAATGTAGGTAAGCCACTAGAGTCCCTGCTTTTGTCAAACAATCAAAATATTTTTACCACAAGTCACATGGACTCTGCACCATAACCACTGCTATAATGAGCTATAGCAGTTATAGTGCTCAGAGGGACCATTTCAAACTATTTAACTTAACTAATAAACATATTAATGTGATGATTTATTGAAAGAGTACGCAGCCTTCATTTTTATGTGGTAATAGCGTGCTGATTTTTATGTGGAGAATAGTATATATCTAGATAGTAACTTGAAAGTGCAAAAGTGTGCATGTCATTGCAGTGCTGCAGGTTGATACGTTCACAGGTCCATAGCATGTGCATGAAACATAGTTCTTGGGTATCAGCTTCTACAACTTGGTCAGGCGGAAGATGTGATTGTTCATTTTCTATACTGTCTGGTGGTCACCATCATCAGCTCTTGAAAGAGGCTACAGCTGCTCCTGATCATGTCCTGAAGGAGACTCATAATTATCTCCAACATGGACGTTATAGGCTCAGATACCTTCTAAACCAGTACTGGAATAAACAGGAAGTCACAATCATCTTTTTTAGCCAATCCTGAAAGAGTCTGGATGTCCTCTTCCATATGTCCACCACTCTGGTTCCTTACATTCGGTTTCTCCTGCATTTCTAGGAGTTAGCATTAAGTACCACATCTCAAGTCAATGGGGATCAACGGCAATCTCTGCCAGTCCTTATATTTCTATTTATCGTTTTCCTCTTTCACCTCCTAGATTATAGTTTCTTTCCATAGATCCTAATGGGAAAAAAAAGAAAAAAAAGTAACTAATAGGAAATAGCATTACAATATACAAAATATGAAAGGACCGCTCACCGTGCCAGTACCACTTCATGTCAATTTTATGGGGCCATAAGATCACCATGGCATTCTTACCTTTAAGCGTTAAACTGATTTTGAACACTTACTGGCCACCCCTAGCCAGTAGTGCTTCCGAATAATAAAAACTAAGGGATGTTTGGTGAATTTACAAAAAGTTACCTTGAAAGAAATTAAGACCTGATTGGTGCATGTAGTTTGCACCAATATGTTGATTACCAAAGAATCCTTACAGGAATAAAGGAACACGCCAGTCAACAGGAAGCCCCTAGGCACTTTTCTTACCTTAACTTCATTTAGATTAAGTTGTTATGGTGACCAGAGTGTTCCTTTACGCTTCTATAAGTTACCCAGCTATGCTTCTCAGAATTAACTTTTGATGCAAGTATTGAATGCACATTTTACAGTGTGCTCATTGGTTTTGATGAATTTAGAAATGAAGAGAAAATCATAAAATCGGAGCAAAGTATTATTTCAACCAGGTCCTAACCAAAAGTTAGGCTAAAAGCTCTAACCACACATAACAGGTCTATTTCGAAGCTGATGAGAAATTTTATCTTCTCAAGTGATATGGGAGCTTCCTCATCACACCAACTCATCATATGTACAAGAGAATAGAGTGATAATAAAACTGATGTAGGACCAACTTCAAAAGAGCTCTGGGACCAGCGAGTCCAACGAGTAAATGCCTATGCAACAGGCGACAACACAAAATGCAGGAGAGAGGTACAAGCACGCATACAGGACAGGGGGACTAGTAGACCCACCATATAATATATAATACCCTATGGCACCAGGTCGAGACTGGCAAAAGCCAACGAAACACAAACAGTGACCATTACCTCCTGCCGCGAATACTACTGTTAGGTAGAACAGGACCTGCGTGTCCACACTGTCACCCTATAGAGCATATGAAAGTACCATCCATTGTTTATATTTCATAGGACCTGCGAGTCCACCACGTAAATGTTATTTGTGCTTTAAAAGGCGACCTGCGTTTCACCATTGCGTGTTTATTTGAATGTATTTTCTTTCCCCTCCCCCTCCTTTTTTCTGTTTTCCTTTTATGTTCTAAGGCGCTAAGCACTAAGTGCAATTACTGGGACCTGCGCGTCCCTATAAACGCCTTCCTATGATTTGATACAACTGAAATTGAAATACTGGAAATACCTAATAAAATATGTATTCACAAAAAAGAGAATAGAGTGATCTATCCAGCATATTTTCTCAGAGAGACCATCTGACTAGCCTAGCGCTGCATTTTGCCGTGCATGCGCACTATACTCTCAATACATATGTATTCATAAAGCTATAGTGTTCGTTTAAGCATATTAGGGTATATATAGCCGTTAAACATGAATTAAAATAGGGAACGAGACTTAATTTTTTCCACACAAGTATTTTATTAATTTTATCATCTACCTATAAGTGTCATACCTCGAGCTGCCGTGCAGCACTTGCAGACTCAGGGGGAGCCGCATGGCAGCCACAATGTCTCCGGTCCTGCGCCACTCCGATCAGCTGCTCCATGTACAGAAGGTGTTCTGAACTCTGTCAATCTTGCGAGTTGCAGATCACCGTGGCAGCCTCATACCGCCTACAGGAGTCCTAAAAGTTACAGGACCCGGTAGGTTTTGGTCATATTATAATACAATTTGTAAGGGTCATGTGACGAAAGCCCTGTTTGGACAGACTCAGGGAAACAGCATTTCGTCTTAATATTCATGTGTTTGGCTATTTCGTGTATTTGTAAAAGAGCCGAACAAACTCCCGAACCACCCGACCTCCCACCAGGGTTGTGTGCAGCTCATTTACCACCCAGACCTTGCGGTTAACCGCAAGGTTATTGATGAAAGACTTAGTGGTCCACGTTCGTTTGCCGAACACGTGGCAGTCGCCATTTTAAAATCGTCGAACGTTCAGCGGTAGATGGTCATCGACCCTCTGGAACTGTTTTCGGACACTTATTTAGCCATACACCTCTGAAGCGCACCAAGTTCCCGTCCATTCGGTTAATAACTCCCGAACACTTTACCGTCCGGGACTTTCTTCTTATACGAGCTAGACCGACCCCAGTTAGCTGCAGTTATGGAACTCTTTTCGGATTCAATTTCCTGAACAACCGGTGAACTTAAAACTTTACTCGACGATATTGAGAACTGTGTTCGTGGGATCTGAGCGCTATTCGTCTATATTGTGCGCTCAGATCCAAGCTATCTGGGGGTATGTGGAACATGGAGACGCTCAGCCAAATATGAGTTATGGATTTTAATACAGTGTCTTGTCTTGTCTAATTGTCTCTTGTGTTTGCCGGTCTCAGAGTAAGCTGGGGCTTATTTTCCAATTCCAAGGCGAGGCCATGCATAGGTTCCCCAGCGTCACCGTGACCTCCGCATGGTCTGACCATGCGATGGACCCAATGGTCGAGTCCGTCACTCTGGCCATGCCAGCTTCGTTTACCAAGAAGAAATCGATTCGTGA